CACCCAACCCCCCCGGCCCCGCTCCCCGCCCCCCCGCCCCCCTCCCTTCCGACTCCACCCTGTCCAGGAACCCCAACCGCGATACCTCTGCAACCGTGTAAGTGACAGCATGTTGCGGAATCCGCCCTACGTCTGACAACAGACGCCAGCATCGGACGTACCAAAAAGCTTTAAGCCCGATGCTTGCGACACCACAGTCGGCACCGGAGCGACACCCCGGCGACGCCGCCCCCCTTTGCGGGGTCGGCGGCAGCGGCGTCAGCCCTTAAATAACATAACCCACAAGATGTGCAAGGACAGCGCGCGCTCGTTTTGAAGACATGTCGGAAAATAGCGAAGAAACCAAACTACAAGTACGCTCCTCGTCGGAGTACTGCGAGTTCTCGCGCTCCATGCAATTGTCTTCACGCGCAGCTGCACAAAACCCCTGCAGCCGGGCACATCGCGATCATATGCGGAAGCAGGTCAGATCGGTAGTGAAAGTAGGGTTAACAGCAACCAACGCTTGAACGCGTACAGCGGTGAAGTTGCGTGGGTGCCCCAGGATCGGCTTAGGTTGGCGAGGTGGGCACAAGTTGTGGATCGTAGATACTGGTGATGAAGCCACGAGAGGCTGCTGGGCAGGCTACGATGCCATGACAATGGCATACGTGGAACCACTCATCCACATCGCAGTACAGATTGGCCGGGGCCTTGACAATATGCAGTTCCCCCCCTGGCACCCAGCCTCAAGATCAACGGGACGCCCATAATTCACAGACCGATCCTTGTAGGTGAAGGCCGCGGTCTCTTTGTACAAGTCCTCAAGCGGCTTTGACATGAGCGCAGTTTCAATCCCTGCAACACATGCGACAAACATGGCTAGTCCAAGCCAAAGAATCCACTGCCAAACCAACGTAGCCCACTTTTGCAAAAAAGCAGGCTTGATCGATGTCAAACTGCTTCAAACCTGCGTAGTTGTGATGCACCAGGATCACCGGTGCAGGTGCACTCCCAACGATATATGCAATGCGCCCGTGGATGTAGTCGTAGCCATCGAAGGAGATGGGAAACTCCTCCACTACGAGATCTCCATTCTTTGCGACTGCCTTGTCCACGGGCTTGAAACAGCCTTGTGTCCGGTACTCGGCGCCGCTTGGCGTGTCTTGGCCACACATGGCTGCTCGGTTGCTTGGCCAATGCGGTCAGCTGTCAAAGGGGCTTGCTAACTTCATGATTCTGTCACTGGCATTCATGATATGGCCATCTCGTCTTTCCACGTTCTCAACAGATGCTGGCCGTGTTTGAGTCATGAATGCAAAGGGCCTGCATGAGTCTCGGGCTCAAGCCCAAAAGTGGATCAAGGTTGACGCAGCATGACCGAGCGATGTGATGCTTCAAGCATATGGCATGTTGCATACTAGTTTCCACGCCAGTTCACGATTGAAAGGCATGCATTCACTCTCTCGAGTGCTCATGACAGGCTAGATGCAGCTACACATACGTCATGTTGGGCCACTTAAGGTCACAGAAATAATTGAAACTTCGATAATTACGTAATCTTTTGTATGTACATTTACTTGAGATCCATTCTACATCTTTGTTCGAGAGGCCAGGGTAGCCTTCATGGCAGGCTTAATTGATGTTGCAGCAAACTCGATAAGCTGCACGCGAAAAAACCTTTGCCGCAGCTTGCCTACAGCTGACTTAACACACCCTTTCATGAGTGACACGCTCCTATTTGGACAGACAGGGTGTGCAATGACGATGCCCTCTGAGCAATTTCTTCTCCACGGTTGAACCACACTTCAACCCTTACAGTGTCCTCTCAACCTTGAACAGGGCAACGACCCACCCGTCCCCGCTCAGAGGCTTCAACGCAAGGTCTGCAAGGCACGGCGCAGGCGCGCCACGTAGCCTGCAGCTCGTTCCCGAAAAACGACCGCAGCTACACAAATGCGCTCCTGCAGGTTTGCCTGCCAGCGCCTGTGACTTCACATCCAGAGTGCTCTCGAAAACAAAAGGAACATGTGATCGACATGCCCTCATATTGGATCGAAGTAGGACCACGCAGGCAACGCACAAATCAGCGTCATGCTGTGCCAGCTCGCATCGGAGCCTGTGCGGGGCCGGAACACTTGGAAAAGCTCCTGCCAGCAGCCCACATTGAAATGGCTCCGAGAACCGCCCGATGACTCATCATGTGATTCTTGCCCTCTCACACTGCCAGGCAATGTTATAATCTAAGCGACTTCAGATCCGTCAGGATCAAGCCCAGCCCTCCAAATCCTGGAGCGCTCCATAATGTCCCTGCACCCTTTTTGCATCCAGCAAGCAGCCGGAAGGCCCTAAACCCTAAACCGAACCCGAAACCCTAAACCCTGTGTCCTCGTCCTCAGACGGCGACAGGTCACGGAGCAGCTCCAGGTCTTTGTAGCCTCGGAAGGTCCCGAGAGCGGATTTGAGGTAAGTACCACAACCCTAATTAGGATCCCTTTTAGGTTTTGGGTTTAGGGTTTAGGATCCCTATTAGGGTACTTATAACTCTACTTCGTATCTACTTACTAAGTCCACTTCACACAGTAGCACGGCCAAGCGAGACTGATTTTCGGCCCCAGAATGCTGCCCGATTTAATTCACAAGTTGGGGGCACGATATTTGAGCCCGTAGCGAAACCAAGCCCAACCTGTCAAGTCGACCCTGTACCTCCTGTTCAGCAGGGCTAGCCTCCGCAGTGCAAATTGCATAGCTTGTGCTCTCGCCCCAAAGCTGGTGTGCACCGGTAACGGCCACCGATTCATTTTCCGAAAACTGCAGAGATGGACAGTGTGGGCAGGCATTCCCAGTTATGCAACGAGGCCTTCGCCTATGGGTGCACACAACTCTAGCATACAGGAACGCAGTCCTAATCGACTTAAAAGCCTCGGAGCTTCTTCACGACTACAAACTCGGACCGCAACCGTTCCAGGCCAGGGCGGTGCTCAGGGAAGTGAGGCGCTCGGCCTGAGGCAGATGACCCGCTTGTTGGCATCATGTCAAAATATGCAACGCAACATAGTTGACTAAGTGGATCCTGACACTGACAAAGCGTCCCGAGAGCTACCCGAGCAGGAGTGCAACACCATGGCAGCTGTAAGTCATTCCGTGTCATGGAAAATTCCCTTGGCCATCCAAGACACCGCTAATGAGCCCCGGCCATGCCCGGAACAGGTCAGGTCTGGCCTGAAGCCACTCCTCCAACTCCACGCTCATGGGGCTTCCAGGGGGCCTTGGAAAGGAACGGCTCGCAGCTCACTCGTCGCTTTCCATTCAGAGCTGCGACGTTCGAGAAAACACTCTCAGCTTAAAGCCTAGACCTAGACAAGGCTGCAAGGCTCTGCATACGAGCTTCCGGGCTCTTGCTCCTCGTCTCAGGTACCCGAGCTGACACATCGAGATGCTGTGATCTCCACGTCTTCGTCTGATCAGAGTCCGAAGTCCAGCATGGGCCGTCTGTACTAACACATGGAAATTAGCAAATTATTGCACATTTGCCGGGGCTACGTAAGACGAGGTAACCCATGTAGGTTGGCACTTGAAGGCATGCTTTTTGGGACTTCTGAGGCTTCGATGAAAAGGAGTCGTGGACCACGGCAGTCAACAACTCTTCGAATTCTGAAATCTGGAACCGACTCGCTTGGTTTCAGTATCATCTGGGGGAAAGGAAAGAAATCGTTGTTTTTAGTGCCGGCCGATATGAATGCCCTGCATTCTCCTCACTCACAAAGCGCAAACATCGCTGGTTGCAGCGGTTTCTGCTTCAGGAAGGGACACTGCGATGCAGGGGCCATGCTTCGCCAAACCCCGCCCATAGTCCGCAGTTACGAATGCCAAGACCTGATGCTCGCATGTCCTTGCTACCGTTGGCAGGCCCATCATGTAGATCTCAGTGTCAGGCGAAGAGACCATGTGCTCGCGCTCTGTCGCCTTGGACAGCAGGATGGCGTGATGAACTCTTTTTGTTTGCGCCGCTCATTCACGATAAAGCCCAGTACATATCTTGATTGCCTGCGTCCTGTTTCTGTACAACACTACCGCAGCCACCGATGCTGTCGTGTACTAGGCTTTGCTGCCCTTCGCAGAACAGCATGCCACAAGAAGCAAGCAAGTCTGGTGCAGGTCATGTGGAGCCGTTTGATCGAGCACTTGCCGGCAAGCCACCGCCCGAGCATTGCTCTCTCCCGACCGCGTCCAGGACCACATCCGACCCTGAAAGGGGCGATTTCTTGTGAGCGATGTTACAAGTCCGAGTCAACCCAGGACGGCCGCCGCAAATGTACAAGGGTATACTGGTCAATGGCTACAGTGGCTACTGTTAGCCAGCACTGAAGGGTTCGCTTCACACAGCTAGCAGAGCCTTTCACTCACACTCGGCTGGATCCGCTGGAAGGAGAGGTGTCAAACACAAGGAGTCTTAACACACCTTCCAATGACTGTCAGAACATTCCTGCTGATCACAGCTCGCGACAAGTCTTGACTGCTCTGCCTGCAGTGCCTCGGTGCCGACGGGCGGCAAGAGCTACTGTTGGCCAAGCCGAATCCCGGAGCGAACTTCTCTTGTGAGTTGACATATGAATGGGCATCAATCATGATCATCTTGCCCATCGACACCTGAAATCCTCCGATTCATCACCGGGTATGGTGGCTGTGAGCATACCATAGCATACAGTGAAAGAGCCTGCTCGGCTGCGGAAAGGACTGCTGTCGGCATATGCAAACTGAGGGAAACCATTTGCGGATTCCTGGCTTCGTGCTGAAAACACCGAAAAGAGAACCAAGAACTTCCAATGACGGAGAGCACAAGTTAGATGATGCATTCAGCCGAACACTTATCTACCTCGTCTGAAACGTCTGAAGCGAATCACAAGCGTGCAAGCGCCACCGATCACTCGATATTTTTAAGCGTGGGCACAGCCCACAACTCATGTCGGAACTCCTGTTGCGGGAAGGTCTTCTGCAATGCACGGATGACAGGAGTCCCGACACGAGCAATGAGTGCTGGTATAGAGGGCCGCAACCTGGGGTGAAACAATCACATCGGAGCTGAACAAGCTAGGCTGTGCGAGTGGCCATGAGCGTCAGAAGTTGACATGCCCAGGGCCTCCCGCGAGCACCTAATTGCAGTGAAGCTTTTCCGCCGACAGAAGCAGCTTACGTGGTTCCTGCACTGTTACAGTTCGCTGCAGGGCTATGTCCGAACAAACACCATCAGCTTTGGTTTGCTTGTAATGGAGTGGGTTGGGATACGGCCAGTGCATGCACCGAACACTACTTGGTTGCTAAATTTACATGCATGTCAGCCTGGCTCGTGCTTTGATTGTCCAGGCTGCACGACCTGCTGCGAGCAAGTCTTTTTTTAAAGTGCCTCATGTCCTTGTGTTGCTTGCCCGCTTGCTAGCTACCGTGTAGTGTTGTCAGGCACGGGCTGCATGGCATGCCTTGCCACAACACCGAAAATCACGATTCTCTCCTTCGCAATGCATGGCGAGCAGACCGAATATGGTTCGAAACTTGATTCTCCACCAACCCCGACGAGTGCATACCAAGAGGCTACGAAGAGGCGCCATCAGATTCAGAGCCTCGGCATGAGAATGCTTGCACCTTGCATCTGAGTCTGCGCACGATGCGAAGACGCGCGGATCCTTGGAGTACCTTCTTCACGTGTCCTGTTGCTAAGAGCACAGAAGGCAGAGGGAGGAGTCGTCCGAAGGCCAGAACCTCTAAAGGATTCAGTGTCTAGCTATAGTATAGCTTGTATGTATGTATGCATGCATGTATGTGCCTATACCTGTTTGTCTGGATATATATATATATATACACACACCCACACACACACATGCACAGGTATAAGAGGGAGCTAGAGTGCGCCTGCGTCCATATAAGAGGGAGCTAGAGTGCGCCTGCGTCCATATGTGTTTCTCTACTTGAAGAAAGAGCCACGGGGATAGCGACATACGTATACATGTATACATCTATACAAATTCGTACATACACATCTGTGTGCGGTTGTGTTTGTACACTTGACTGTGCACGCAACTGCTTCTGCTCAAGTCTCGTGTCCAAGCTGCAACACAGGGCATACATGCTTGCACGAGGCTGGCAGGCCCAAATATTTCCATGCTTCCAAATGCAAGTATAC